ATCTATCTATCTATCTATCTATCTATCTATCTATCTATCTATCTATCTATCTATCTATCTATCTATCTATCTATCTATCTATAAAAACAAACAAACAAAAGGTTTGTTTTAAAACACAACGATTATATATTACTGAACTAAAATAAAAGACAAAAAAATTCTTTTGTAAACTTTTATAGAATTTTATAGAATAATAAACACAGTGACAAACTACCTTTTGGGTTATAATTCTCGTTTCACTCTTACAAACATCCAATTATTATTATTATTTATTTATTTATTTATTTTAACTTTCTCACGTTTTTATCCTGCTTTAACGGACAATTGCATGACACAATGGTACTATGCCATCCTTAAAAAGCAATCTTAGTTAATCATAGTCACTGATTTGGCTGCAAGAGGGAGATTCATAATCACATGCTTCCATGTGGCTTCCAGTGTGATGCAGTGAGACACAAAGGACAATACGAAAAACATACTGTAGTTTCATGTGGCTTTTTGAAGCAAAACATCATGCAAATACCCAAAGCACCATTAGGTGGCATTACTGATTAATTTAGGCTACATTATCAGTCCATGATTCAGCCTTGATATGGAGTTATGTAATAAGAACTGTCCAGGGGGTAAAGGTAATAAATTTAGAAAAGTACTTGGTGTGTGCAATTCATGCATGGACTCGAGCAGAGGTCTCCAGTGCCCGAGAGCTACTGTCCTGCAGCTTTTAGATGCATCCTTGCTCCGGAATGCCTGAATCAAATGATTGGCTTGTTACCAGGTCTTTGCCAAACTTGATGGCATGCTGAAGAGGTAATTCGACCATTTGATTCAGCTGTGTAGGAGTAATGATGCATCTAAAAGCTGCAGGACAGTAGCTCTTGAGGACTGGAGTTGGAAACCCCTGTGTTAGAGGATTTAGGTGAGTTACAAGAGGATGGTGCATGTGTGAGCAGTTGGCTATTGAAGGCGTTTTTTCTAAGTAAATGTACTTGCGTGAAGTTGCCATTGACATGGAATCCTCACCATATGTCAGTATCAACCCATCCAATCCCAGACCAATCCACACATTATGTGCAACAATGTGAAATGAAACAGGGAAAAAGTATTGAACATGTCAAAAAATCAACCAATGAGCTCCCTCAAGACCTTTGTAACACACACACACACACACACACACACACACACACACACACACACACA